TCACTCCATGCCTTTATCACCCTCTCATTTTAGGTAGCCAATGTCTAAGTTAAAGGAGCTCTGGTAGCATAGTGGTTATGAATCGGGCTGCGAGCCGCAAGGTCAGCAGTTGGAAACTACCAGTGGTTCCACGGGAGAAAGATGAGGTGGTCTGCTCCAGTAAAGATTTACAGCCTCAGAAACCCTGTGTAGGGTTGCTATGAGTTGGAACCGACTCCACGGCACACAACAACAACAACAACAATATCTAAGTTGCCTGTTCCTATCTACCCTGTATACAGAAGGGATAGGATTGATACTTCATATGAAGGCTCCTTCCCTCTCTGTTGGTATTTTGAGCAACTCCCTCCATGAGTATAGGTCAAGTTCATCAAATTGTAGCAATTTACCCTCCTTTCCTTTATCAAAAAAAATATTTTAAAAAAATTTTCCTCTGGTCGAGTTCTGATTATCAAGCCATCCACACTAGGTCAAAGGATCCACACTATCAAGCCATCCACACTAGGTCAAAGTTTGGGTGTTCTTGTGCGTCTCCCCTCACTTTGTATCAGCTGAATGCTTCAATCTCAGCTCTAGCCCTCTGTGGCTATGTCCTTGTCCATGGGCTCAGGAGTCCCCAGGTCTCACAATGCTTTGGACCAACCAGCCCTTCCTCTTCTCACTCTCATCTTCAGCTCAACAGGAATCTATGGAACATGGTTGAACTCAGCCCATTTCTTCATTGCTGACTTTCCCCCTCTTCTACTCACCAGTAGATCAATGTGGTTGCCAGCAAGCTTAGGGACCTGCTCATGTGTTGTTCCCTTTGAGTTTCAGTCTTAGAGAGGGGTTTGTCCTGAAGGGCCTTGATTGGTTGCTTTGAAGGCTTCCCTGAGGTCAGCTTGCTTATTCTTGTAGTAGCCAATCATACTGCCTTTTTTGTTTTGTGTTTTTCCTGATGATCTTTCTTTGAAGATGTATCTTCTGTCGCTCTAAAATTTACTCATTTTTAATGGGTAAACACAGTCAAACTCAGATCAATTTTACTCATTTTTAGCAATTAGTTTAAAAGAAGTTGGATGGAGATTAAAATGTACGTCATATAAAAATCAACTTATTTTGTGGGAGGGTTTCTATGTGCATTAACTTTGCATTAATTCCAAACAATTCTTGGAAGTAGGTACTATTATCCCATTGTTATTATTAAGTGCTCTCACTCGGTTCTGACTCATGACGACCTTGTATAAGGTTTCAAAGGAGCAGCTGGTGAATTTGAACCACCGACCTTGAGGTCAAGTGCATTATCCCACAGAGACACACCAGGACTCCATTATACTATTTTAGAGTGGAGAAAACCCACTGAGAAGTAAAGACATCTGGTCACAAACCAGACAGTGAGCGAGCTGGAATTGAAATTACATTTTCTTACTGCTCTTGGGATCGTTTGTGTTTTTCTTGGGGGGGGGGGAAGGCGGGGGTTCATTTGCCCTGGAAAATATTTAAGTCTGCAGCAAAACAGTAGGCGCTCTATAAATAAAACATGCTCCTATATGTTTAAGTTATTAAAGCTGAGCGATTTCACGTGGCACCAGGAAGGTGTAGTAGAGCAAGTAACGGGCCCGCGATGTCACCGCCCATCTGTGCGAGACGAAGCCAGGAAAGGCAGGGGAAGGCAACCGGCTGCACCCTGGCAAGATCCGACTAGGCTTTCTTGCTGCCAGCATGTCACCTGGTTGGGAAAAGCCACAGATCAGGTTGCAACGACTATGGAGGCGGGTAGAAATGCAACATTTTAAGTTCGGGGAGAAGGCTGGTTAGACGAGCCAACTTGTAAAACCTGGGGAGGGGGGTCGTCTCTTTAGATAAAATCTGGAAAATCAGTCCCAGTGAGGGGCGCCCAGTGCCTGTAACCGCGTTCACAGGGCACGAGGTGCGGAAGACGCCCTAGGAGGGAGGTAACAGCCTCTCCGCGTTCACAGGGCACGAGGTGCGGAAGGTGCCCCACCCCAGGAGGGAGGTAACAGCCGCTCCAGTCCGCTCGGGGGTCGCCCTAAGCGGCGGCTTCTGCCCTAGGCTTCTTAAAAAGCGAGGTGCAGGCAGCCGTAAGCCAGCCGGGTGAGACAGTTCCACGTGGGGGAGGCCTGAGAACTCCCGAGTCATTCAGGCCGGGAAACACCATGGGAAGGAAGCCATGAAGGCATCCACGGCGCGCCTGGCACAGATCCAGGCATGCCGGGCTGAGCAGGG